GGGGGGGGGGGGGGGGGGGGGGGGGGGGGGGGGGGGGGGGATCGGGGTTTGCCTGCTTTCCCCTTCGGCCGTTGACCACCCGCACGATCCATTTCGAAACAACGCGCCGGCAATCCTGGTATTTGAGATTTCCCCTATCGCCTCCATCGATAGCACCGAGGGGGGCCTGTTTTGTTCCACGTTGCCTTTCGCAAAAGGCTGCTGTCGTTTCAAGTCGTGGGCAGATCCAGTTACTAATTTGGCGCGCGCGGCCGGATATGCTCAGGGTACCGTGATACGCAGCGGCGCCGCTAAAATGCTCGAGGTTTCGCGGGAGTACCGCTGCCAGAACAAGACGTGCGGCGCGGTCTTCAGCGTGCACTCCGACATGAGCCAGGGGAACCTGCTCGCGCCGCCGGTGGGATGGCGATAGGGGGAAACCTCAAATGCTTTTTTCTTGACTTCACGTTGTTTGTTGGGTGTGCTCGATCTTTTTTTTTGGTATGTTGCGATGATGGTCCTGAGCGTTCCAAAGGGCAAGTTTCGGATTTCTGAAGGGGGAGTACTCTCATGATTTTAGGCGAGTTGATTTGCCGATACTCCTTGCGATCGATCTGCATCCTTTTTGTTTTTGCTTGTCCGAGTGCACACGAGGGAACGATGCGAAAAAAGTCCCTGGGACTTATCTTTTATTTCTCATCAATAGCGTCAAAGAATTTGCGTGGTCGAGCTCGACCGCTATCGTTTACCACGGTTGGGCACCCTTTCACACAGAACGGCTTCCCAGGTAGATCCCATGACCGGAGATTTTTCGATGGGATTTTTTTTTTTATGTTAGCATCGTTCAGGACGAGAAATACGTCCCTGTTCCCCCTGAGTGGCTGACATACCTGGCTCCTTGCTTGTGTTTTGTATTTGTTGCGACCCTGCCTTGCTGGGTGTATGTTGTTGAGGCCGGCGACAGATAACGAAGTTCATCGCCAACAGATACATGTGACGAATCGTAATCTTCTGTGTCTTGTGGACTGGTATCACCGTTTTTCTTCGCGGAGGAGGCTTTTAGTAGGTTTAGTAGGACGAGGATTTATGTCTTTTTCATTTTCCACTATGCCATTGGACAGCGTAACGGGCTAACGCGCTTTCAAGTGCCTCGCTTGCCCCCTGCCCCCCCCGGTCCTGCTGCCACACTCGCCCCTCGCGCACCAACACCTGGCGCACGCGCGGGCTGTGTTCAGGTAACCACCGCCAGCCCTCCCACTTTCACTTACCCCCCTGCACTCTCGTTGTCATCCCCCCATAAATGTCGTTTCCTCGTTTGTGCCCTGAATAATTACACCGCATGATATAGACGAGCTGTCCCGGAGTGGGCCAAAAGCAGTGCAAGGGTACGAGGTTCATGGAGCACGGGGATCACAAGTACAGCGATTACCAAGAGGTGAGGCAAGACTATGCCTGACTCTTCCAAGCTGCGAGGACGTTGATGTGTTTTTGAGTGCACTCGCATGGTATGCACGGTGCAGAGTCGACACAGGGCATTTGTATGTGTATACTGGACAAGGTTCATGGAGCACCAGTACAGGGCTGCTGGTTGTCGTTGTTGTTGATGTCGTTGTTTTCACATGGACGATTCCTTGTTTGCTGCAACGTCCTGTGCTAGTACTCCAAGAACGGCATTTGTTTTTTGCCATGCAAGAGTAGCACCGTGTGCGTGTTCTGGGACCATCCATTGAGGCCAAGTTACCTCTGTCCGTAGCCTTGAAACTATGCCTCCCGTTATCGAACGATGGCCTTTGGTTGGGCGAAGACCAGCGGAAAGTTGTATTGCGTCCCCGACCTTGCTTGCGCGTGTTGCTTTGAAATCCCGCCCTTACCTTCGATGCGCCCTTTGCCCATGCTTGACAACCTTAATCGTTGACGTCCTCTCAGATGAAAGTGCAGGAACAGGCGCAGAAGCTTAGCGTCGGATCCATCCCCAGGTGAAACGAGGCGTTCCTTTGAACTGTTGAGGAATGACACTATGAAATGAATCGTTTTATTCAGCTGTTGAGGGACCACACTACTGCGGGAAGAGGTGTATTTTCTGTGCACCTTTGAGGCATCACACTGTGGAAAGAGGTGTTTATTTCCTGGTGAGGGATCACACGACGCGGGCGCAGCTCGTATGTACCGTTCAATGCCTCAAGCAAAGCTTTTGCTTCGAGTTGCAGGATCACCGCTCTCCAGCGAGGTGCTGCCAGCACTGCAGCGGTGGAAAGCGGATGGACTTCCGATTCCCGGCCTTGTCGATCTTAGATAGTTATGTGTTTGTCTCGTCTACGACGATACAACGTCGTTACTCGGTAGGGCGGCACAACAATGTGGAAGCTTCTAGAGTCTCCCCGTAGGTGTGTGAGAAGACAGCTTTGCGGGCGACAGTAGCAGCGGACAACGGTGCCCAACCCGAAGTTTTTTTACCCGTGTCTTCCGAATGGTTGGTCATAGAATCTTATCCACTTGATTCCGAATTGGGTGCGGGTACACACGAAGACAAAGGAAAAACGCCGTGTATATTATTGGGGCGTGGTTCGTGCTTGGCATTCCCGAGTATGGATTACGTGTGAGCTATACCCACGGTAGCTTGCCCTCCTGGCGGCTACTTGCGCTAGATAGTGATCGTCGTGGTACATTTCTTCGCCGCAGGTCCATGGTGATTCTTCTGCAGGACGATCTGGTGGACTCCTGCAAGGCCGGGGATGATGTGGTGAGCAAACGAGGGAGGGGCCGGGGGGTCAGCTCCACACTTAAAGTGATGAGAGGTTCTTCGGTGCAAAGACTGCTGTGACCATGCATGCCAACGAATGCCCCCCCCCCGCGCGCCCTGTGCCGCCCGTACCAAACAACGGAGGTGGTCGTGGGAGAGCTGTTGCGGACATGGATGCCGGTGTTCGAGGGGGTACGTTGCGACGTCCAGGTCACGCTCCGTGCGAACAGTGTCACGGTCCAGAGCGGCGCGGACCAAGGCAGCTCACAGGCGAGCAAGCTTTCATTATGTACTCGATCGAGCAATTCCCTCCCCCCCCCGGCGCGTTTTCTTCTGTATTCACGATAGACCAAGTTGTTAAATGGACTTGCCCCGCTGTTGCTCCGCACTCCAAGTGTAGTATATTCCCTGCTGCGCGGTACAGCTGTAGACTAAAATGTGTGGTACAGGTGTTGGCGCGCAGTTGCAACTAGGCCGTGCTCAGGCTGGCGCGCGCGGTTGCGCGCTGTGGTGAGCAGGGAGCCCAAGGCATGGCTGTCAGGCAAACATGTGGCGTGGCGCTGCTCTTGTTCTTCGGACGTTCGTTTGGAGTAATGGACAGTCTCGCGAATGGCGGTTGATTCACTACCAATCCCTGTCCCAAGGGAGGCTGCCTGCTTGACTCTGTGTTAAGAAAAGTGTGGGCGATCTTCGGTACGTAACGGAGGGTTGAATCACGGTCGTTCGACGTTCCGGCCCCTTGATTTGTCATCGGTTGGGCCCTGCTCGGCACGATTCTACCGCTTGGGTGATCGCATACGTTTTCTGTGCACAACCTTTCACGTTGCTGTGTACGTGCTGCAAGAACCTGTTGTGCTTTGACATGTGGGCCTTGTCGCATCGGGAGTATGCTGCGACGGCCGTGCGTTCATTTTCGTGTGTTTGCCCATCGATTCACGAACATCCCCTTCGCTTGACCCTTAAAAACGTGCAGGTGAGCGAGGAGCTTCGGCAGGAGTTCGTGGAACTGTGGGAGGCCAACGCCCACCGCCCGCTTGCCGTCCGCAACCACGTCATCGCCAGCGTTTGTCCTCAAGTCTTCGGACTCTTCACCGTCAAGGTAACCCCCGTCCGACAGAAAGTGCCGCCTAGTTGCGGAATGTCATGCCCTCCTTTCGGGTTATAGCGGGAGGAGGGTGCATTGCCGCCGGCGACTTTGCGCGAAGGCTACCCAGGGGTTGCGGGGAGTTCTTGCATGCGGCAGCAGTTTCCATCACGCAGGTTTTGTTCGGTTTTCGCTTCGTTCGGAGGGGCGTTGCTCGACTTGTTCGATACTTTCGGTAATTGTTGTGTTTGATCTTGTTGGTGGGCTGCGTCCTCGCCCACGCGTCCGACTAATGGTGCCGTGGTTGTCCGAGTACTTGAACATGACGAGAACGCGAGTGAGTAAAAGCACAGCATCACCTCCAACTGTATCGGTCACATTCAAACACGCCGAAGCCGCTATTTACCCCTTCCCCCGCGCGCCACGCTCGCGAACTCTCACGCCCCATCCTCTCCCGGCGGGCGTGTTTCTATTACCTTTTTTTACACTTGTCTTGTTGTTCTCTTGTCGTTCCCTCTCGTGATACTGTAAACCCAGCTCGCGATCCTGTTGAGGCGTGCTTGCTTTCACGTTTTTGCTTATTTTCCTGTTGTCCTCTTGTCGTTCTCTCTCACGATGCTGTGAAACCCAGCTCGCGATCCTGCTGACCCTGATCGGGGGAGTCACCGAGACCGATCCAAGAGGAATGAGACGCAGAGGCACGCCACACCTTCTCGTCGTCGGTGAGCAGTGGGTTTTCGAGAGAAGCGCTGAAGACGCGAGGAAAGTGCGGCATAGAACGGAGGGAATCTGAAGAGGAACCAAGAGGCGCTGCCAACCGCTCGCGTCCTATCGTGTCGTTTCGCACAATCTTTTGTTCTTTTGGCGGGAGGAGATGCACATGCGCCCGGCTGTCGGCCAGGCAAAGCAGGGGAAACAGAATAGTTGTTTTGTCTGTTGCCTTGACTGTTGTCGCTTGTGGATGTATAGCTTTGGGGGAGCGAAAATTGTAGCGTGTGTGTGCTTGTGTTAGTATTACTTGTGGGCAAGCTCTGAGTCCCAATAATACCGTTACTTCGTGGAGAGTTTCCACATAATATCGAAACGGAATAATGCTTTACGGAAGCACGGCGAGTTGTTTTCGTCAATCGATCTCTCGTAGCGCTTCTCATGCCGACAGACCAGGCCCAATAGCTTCTGGAAGAGCGCCCACGTATGGTTGCTCCCCCGGGACTCGATGGCATACGCATGTTTCGGTGTGCATTTCAACTGAAACTTGCTCTTGTGCAGGTGACCCGGGGTGCGGGAAAAGCCAGTTCCTGCGATTCGCGGCGAAGCTCAGCCCTCGGTCTGTGCTGACGACCGGTGTGGGGACGACCAGCGCAGGGCTCACGTGCTCCGCTGTGAAGGTGGGCTGAGGGGCGCGTTTGGCCGTGTGCGTCTGCGCCGCTTTTGTGTTTTCCTGCTACCACGGACGGCATCGTTGCCTTTTGATGGCCATGTTGATGTTGTTGGTTTTGCTGTTGTTGTTTGTGTTGTTGTTGTCGTGGTCGTCGTCATAATCAAAGCCGTTGTTGCTGCCGTCGCGTTGACGTTAAGAAACGCTGACACAACTTCTTCGTCTAGGGGAGCCGCGTCCTCTCATGGTTTTGAAACTGTTTGGCAGCTGCAATCTAACAAGACCTCACCGTGTCGTGAACATTACTTCACATCACACTAACATAAAAGGAAACCATCATTTCAGCCCGCGCTTCCAATATTTTTTTCGGAAACTCCTATTTTATCACGGCGCCCCGCCGTGCTCAACCTGCACCACCCGTGATGATGCTGTACCATGGAAGGATGGCGGGGAGTGGATGCTCGAGGCCGGCGCGCTGGTCCTGGCCGACCGTGACCTGTGCTGCATCGACGAGTTTTCCGCCATCCGAGAGCACGATCGCGCCACCATCCACGAGGCAAGTTTGCTGTCGATGAACCACCTTCTACCACCGCTGTGTCGTTGGGTTGGTTGACTTGGGAGGCACGAGACAGCGGGTGCAGGAGGCCAGGGTCTACACCCCGCGGGCTCGGCTGGTGGGGTTCAGCAAGACCCTTTCGAGGCAACGACCATGATATCATACCGTTCACGACGTGGGGCAAGCACGCCAAGCGCTGCTGCGGAACGGCCTAAATTGCACGCCGCCTTCGTGCACAGCAAAACCCTACAACCATCGCTTCACTTCGCGCCCCTCACCCAGGTCTGCCGTTGCCGTCTGTCTCAACGCTCGCGCCTTGTTCTGCCCGTGACCAGGCCATGGAGCAGCAGACGCTGAGCGTGGCCAAGGCCGGCCTGGTGTGCAAGCTCAACGCCAGGACGACCGCCTTTGCGGTCACGAACACCAAGGTACGGTGTACGCTTTACTTCCGTTTGGCGAGAAGTGTCTTCCAACCCCAAGAATAACACCGAACCGCTCTTTCCTTCGGCAGGACAATGGTATCACGTGCGAACCTAGGCGTCGACCTCGCGCTATTGCTGCGGCGCAAACGATCAAGCTTCGTTGGCAGCAGGCGCTAACTAGTATTGAGGTTGTTCTGCCATGGGCTATAGGTCGACTTCGGTGTTTCTCATCGCGCTCAAGGGTACATAGCAAAGCGCGTATCCCCTCTCCCGCACCGAACGCTGCGAACTGCGAACGCAGGGAACGTACGACGCGGCGCAGGACATGACAGTCAACACCGCCATCGGAAGCCCCCTCCTGTCCCGGTTCGACCTCGTGCTGCTGCTGCTCGACACAAAGAACGAGGTGAAGTGGTTTCCATGTGTGCTCTGTGGTTGGGGTGGTTTGGTTTGAACTGGGCTGCTGTAGGACAATCGATGTCGAGGGTAGTTAGTCTACAAGTGCAGCTCGGAGTACAAACGGAGGAAACTGTGTGTTGAATGGGGCTAGAAAGGGGGGGGGCGAGAGGTGCGGTAATAGGACAACAAAGTAAGTGTTACAAGTTTGGGACGTGATGCCCAAATGCGTGTGCTGTATCATTCGCGGGCCACATACCCCCTCCCTCCCTCCGCCCCGGGCTCCCACCCCATGTGTGATGTCGCGTTGCTCCCGCTATGGGTCCACCTTATTGAAAACTCAAACCATAGCGACAGGACCCTTCTTCCCCCGTGTGTCATTTCTCGTCCCTTGAACGCCGTGCAGCAATGGGACAAGGTGGTATCGACGTTCGTGCTGAGGGCCGCGATAGGTCCTGCTGCTCCACCCGTCCGTCCCAAAGCGGTTGCTGCTAGGGCGGCGACAGTGGCACCTCGCGGTGGCAGCAGCGGTGGAGGTGGTCCCAGCAGCCCCAGCCAAGCAGGTTTGGAGTAGCGTGGGACATAACGGCATCTGCTCTCTCTGAATGAAATAATGATCCAACCTTGTCTTTCCGTTTCGAGCGTGTCTATTTTCTCCCGCATGACTTGGCTTGCTGTCGATTGACACGCATCGCGTCGTTTCCTTGGGCGGTTCTAACGTACGCAGTGGATTCCCGCCCACGTCACAGGGAAACCCACCGCCGGGGGCCCCGCGGGGAGAGGGGAGGAGGAACCGGTCTCGAGCAAGCCCTGGGGCACGGAAAAGCTTCAGAAGTACCTGTGCTACGTCAAAGACACGTTCACTTCTGTACGGCTTTCGAAGGACGCGGAGGTGAGAGGTTTGTAGAATTTCGACCAGGCATTTTTTGCGAGGAGGCGCGATGAGCCCTGGAAGAGGGGGGGAGGTGTACTCGCCGTCAATCAATCCACGTGTGGCATGCCCATGTTCCTCTCACGAAAATCAGCACCGACACATAGCAACTTACACTTGCCAATATTTGCCAAGTTTTGACAACCCAACAATCAGCAGAAAATGGTTTGTACAGCAGCAGTAGTGGTGTCCCTGTAGAATTCAGA